ATATATATATATATATATATATATATATATATATATATATATATATATATATATATATATATATATATATATATATATATATATATATATATATATATATATATATATATATATATATATATATATATATATATATATATATATATATATATATATATATATATATATATATATATATATATATATATATATATATATATATATATATATATATATATATATATATATATATATATATATATATATATATATATATATATATATATATATATATATATATATATATATATATATATATATATATATATATATATATATATATATATATATATATATATATATATATATATATATATATATATATATATATATATATATATATATATATATATATATATATATATATATATATATATATATATATATATATATATATATATATATATATATATATATATATATATATATATATATATATTAACATTATTAATAGGCTGATGGGATCTGAGGTGAACTATCTGCTGCTGCTTTCAGTAGTATGGCAATAAACGTCACATAAAATGATATTCAAATTCAGATTGGGAGCATTGAACACTAAATAAAGCCCATAATCAGTACCTGAGGTGATCATTGTCATAGTTGTTTATGCTGTTGTTCTTTAAACTCACATTCGTAGCATTAAACACTGAATAAAGCCCATAATTGTCACGATGGATGGTTGGGGAAAAAGGAGCGAGAACCCAAGTGGAGGGTAAATAAATATTTATTTATAATAAAACAAAATAAAAGGCAAAATAAACAACCCCGAGGGGGAAAACATTAATAAAACAAACAAACAATCAAAACAAACTAGGATGGAAATGCTGGCAGGGATCAAGACTGGAAGACTCTGGACTGGAACAAAGCAACATACAACGCGACAAGACAACATATGATGACGAACTGGCACAGGACAGCAGACATGAGGAGAATATAAGCAGAAGTAAACTAACACACAAACAGATGAACATAATTTACTAATAATGGGTTAACGAGGAGGGTGGGACTAGACAGTAGACAGGAGAGCACATGACACAAAGAGACAACACAAGCCATGTGCTCACATAAAGCACGACGAGAACACGCAGCCAATGAGAGAGTTGATTAACCGCGTGTTCGTATGACAAGACAAACACAACACTGAAGCACACAACAAAAGTGTAAACACAGAGCCACGTGCTTAGACAACGGACACAAGACACGAGCACACGATAGATGAAAAAACCTTACCGTGCGCTCACTAATATGCAGCACGCATGTTTCGTCTCAGCGCCAACCAAAACCGAAACCAACTAAACAGAGACGCTAAGAATGAAACAGCGCAACACATGCCAACAGAACAAAACACAAACTCGAGTACAAGAGTGCGCATCCCAGACACACGCAGACACACACAATGACAGAAACAGGACAAGACAGAGCTAGTGTCCGGACTCTGCCACCAAGGATGACCATTGTCATAGTAGTTTATGCTGTTGTTCTTTAAACTCACATTGGGAGCATTAAACACTGAATATAAAGCCCATAATCAGTACCTGAGGGCGATTATTGTCATAGTAGTTTATGCTGTCGTTGTTTAAACTCACATTCGTAGCCCTAAACACTAAATAAAGCCCATAATCAGTACCTGAGGTGATCAGTCATAGTAGTTTATGCTTTTGTTGTTTAAACTCACATTCGTAGCATTGAACACTGAATAAAGCCCATAATCAGTACCTTGTTTATGCTTTTGTTCTGCTGTGATGTTGTGGAAATAGAAAACATTTCTAAAATAGAAATTTTGTTGGAGCTGGTTAGGACAAAACCTGCTTTTATCACAGAAAAGATACGTGTAAAGTGACCTCTTATTTTAATCGAAATCTACAGAACTAATAAAGTGCGACAAAACTCCCTTAATAGTGTTTCCTCAAAATGTACAGTGTTTTTGCCTGCAAAGACACAAATCACCCTCTGAACATCTGCCACCAGACACATACAGTACTTCATGGCAAAAAAACAACAACTGCCAGCACACATCACACTCTGTTTACAGGCACCTATTATACGTTTTACTCTTTCAATGTACATAGAGTACTGCGCTAAAGTCCTATGCTGGACTAACACTTTGACACAGTATATAATCAATCAGTGTCTTAACCAAAAAATATAGGAAACATGTTCAAAACAACAGCAAAACATTTCCTCTTCCAGTTTAATGTGGCTTTCCTTGGCACCTTGAACTGTTTGGTTCTAATTGTCCTGATATTTTCTGAAGTAATGTGCTGTGTAAAAACACCAGGCCTTATTTAGCACCTTCCAGAGCTCTTCTTTAGGTTTGGAGTGCCATATCTTTCTTTTTCTGTCCGGGTGATCTCATACAGCCTCTATAATATTCAGGTCTGGACACTGTGTAGGACATTTCATGACTGTCTGTGTTTCATCAGCTATTTTCTTTCTCTAAAATAGGATTTCAATGCAACTAGGGGATCATTATAATGCCGAAAATAAAAACTATTACCACTGAAGTCCGTTCCAGAAGGAATGGCATGGTGGATTAAAACCTACCTGTACACAACTCCATCAATTTAAACAATATTGTTGACAACAGGTAGAAATGCAGCTCAAACCAGGAGAAACAGCCTCTACCCAACATTGTATTTCCCATGTCTTAAAATAATAATTTTTATTTAATAATAATAATAATAATAATAATAATAATAATAATAATAATACATTTTATTTCTTGAGACATACAAAAATATAATATAATATAATATAATATAATATAATATAATATAATATAATATAATATAATATAATATAATATAATATAATAAACCAGGAGAAACACTGTATTTCCCATGTCTTAAACTATAAACCCAAATAATTTTAATGATGATAATAATAATAATAATAATAATAATAATAGTAATATTAATAATAATAATAGTAATAATAATAATAATAATAATCATAACAATAATACATATTATTTCTTGAGACATACAAAAAAAATCAAATATTGAATCACCAATCCAACAGTTTAAGGCTTTTTTTTGTAGGAGTTTAAAAGCTAGACACTATAGAAGGTCAAGACCACTGTGTAGGGACAGGGGGAGCTCTGGTGGCTTGACTTGGTGTCTCATTATGAGCCGTTCCATGGTAATTACAGCACAATACGGGTGAACGAGGGTCTGATGGGGGAGGCGTCACGCAGAGGGTCATTTCATTTGCTGCCATTGAATGAGTGAAAACGGGGGGTCCCGCCCACCTCATGTCAGGCTTTTGTGTGAGCGTTCGGACAGACACACGTAATGAGTGAGTGGTAAGTGGATAATCAAGCGGGACACATATAACTGTGAGGATCAGTGATTTATCCCTGCTGCCTCAGGCATCATTACCGCATTAACATGTGCTCTTTTGCCTATTACTGACACACACACACACACACACACACCGGCATTAACATTCACAGGCATGACTCAAAGCGGCTCTCACAGCGTCTTTATTTTGAGCAGATGAATCTGTCTTTTAACATCGGGAAAACTCTTATCCTAACAAACCGTACATCAACTGGAAGATCATTGATTCACCCTGTAGAAATCTCAAAACTGACACAAAAAATGAACACTAGCTGACAAAAGTCTGGTTCCAGTAGGTCTTGTGCTGTACTTGTGATGATTGGGATGCAGTTCAACAGATGATTCATGGGAAAAATCCACCTTCTGCCACTATTACTTTTATTATAATATAATATAATATAATATAATATAATATAATATAATATAATATAATATAATATAATATAATATAATATAATACATTTTAATACAATATAAAATAATTTAATAAATTTTAATATAATATAATAAAATATAAATTTTAATATAATATAATTTATTATATAATACAATTTATTATAGTATAATATAAATTTTAATATAATATAATATAATATAATATAATATAATATAATATAATATAATATATTTTATTATAGTATAATATAATTTATATATAATAATTTATTATAATATAATACAATTAAATATAATTATATTTTATTA